TGCCACGTGTGGCTTCCAGGAATTGTATTAGGAAAATAATAGTCAAGAAATTGTTCTCTGATACCAATCATACTGGAATATGGTAAAGTTTTAGTAAATTCAAGCAATTTTAGCATCCAAGAAAAGTGTACAGCTCTGCTGTTTGGGTTTTTTTCGGCTTCAGCCTTAATTGACATTGCCAATAACTAACTTCTGCAGGACGTTAAGTTTCTTTTATCAAATTTAGGGGCCGAGCTTCTCATCTGCACCTGAATTATACCCTGAGAGAAATGTTAATTTTAAATTAATTCGACATCTTTCCCAGTTCTCCAGTGCTCTGCTTTGCTCAACATAGGGAGTCACAAGGATGCTTATTAGAGGGCATTTTTCATGTACTTTTTGGGGAAGTCTTTATAAAATTTGGCAGAGGGAGCAGGGTAATTTTATTTTTTTCCTGACTGGGACACTTGCTGTGTTTGTCTCCACTATTTTCTGTTTAGCCAGAAGAAACCAAGATCCAGTCTCACTGTAATGACAGCTCGGATGTTACTTCTACAACGAAACGTGGAGCGTGACAGTCCTTAGCTGACACCAGAGGGGTCTGAGCACTGCCAGTCGTTTCCTGGTGCTCGCAGCTGGCTGCAGGGGCTGCATTTGTCACAGCAGCGCTCTGGAAGGAGGGCGAGCAGCTGAGGATGTGGTGGAGGAAAGCAGGAAGGAAGAACGGGCCGTGGAAGGGCGAGGAACGAGGCGGTGGCTGGTGAGCAGAGCTTTGGTGCAGGATGTACCAGAGGTGGGTGGGGAGGGAGGGAGGGGGCGAGGACAGCCAGGGGACAGCTACTCCAGCTCACAACATCGGTGTCCTGCTGTGCTGCAGCTGTCTCTGCTCAAGGGAGGACGTTAAACCCACACGGAGGTTTCACACGCAGGGTTTTGATGCCTTCAGTTTCGTGGGAGTTCAGGGGCTTCATTGAGAGGTCAGAGCTTGTAAACCTGCTCTTTGTCACTCGTGCTGGAAACGCCTGCCAGCCCCCTGATGTCTCAGGACCGAGCCGTGAGGCTTTGACCCCATCCCTAACTTTCCATGTACTTCTCCCTCTGAAGTTCCCCTCCTTTTCCTGCCTTCCCAGCTGGCATCCCTGTCAGTGATACGGTTGTTTCCTTCCTCCCGAGTGCAACAAAGAGGTTGGGAGTAGCTGAGACCTGAGGGTCAGTGTGACAAGGACAGAGAACTTGTATCACAAAGCAAGGACAAGGAGGAATTTCCATGGTGATTTCCTAAACTGCTGTAGAGATTATGTTGCTATAATTTGCTGTTGATCAAACAAGACTTTGAATTGACAAAGCATTTTGACCTGAGAAAATAAAATGCCAACAGGTCCAGGTCAGGGCTGGGGGCATGTTCCTAAATATCTGCAAACACAGGCAGTTGCTGCTGCCACAACCTTTAGAAAGTGTATTTATTTTAAGCCTGCATTGTATCTGTTCTTTCAAGGCTGAAAGTGCATCCTCTAACAGCCAGGCCTCAAGCTGGACTCTGCTCACTTGCTTCAGACTTTTAGGTGACATTAAAACTAATCTCTACAGCATGTAACATCTGAACAAAAGGAAACAAAGACCTAGCTTGAAATGACATATATTCTAAGTAGCTAGGATGCAGTGTCTGTAGATTTTGTCCTTCTCTTTGTACCTCTCATGCTGGTTAACCTGGTCCAGACTCAAAGAGGACAGTGGTGGTGCAAGTTGCCTGTTAACAAGCCCTTCCTCTGTCCTGCTTTAGCAAACTGTGCATTGTGGCAGATTCCCCAGCGTTCCGTGGGTTCCATCACGCTTCTGTCACATCTGACTGGGACCCTTTAGACCTGCAAATGAGGCTTGTTTCAGGCATCTGGTTTAAAAAGCATTCTGAGGTTTTCATTTCCTTACCATCTTTTTATTTCATACAGCAAATGCTTGTTTAGAGGCCAGTTATTCCTCATTTGTTTCATATTTGGGGACTATTTCTGTCTTCTTTGTAAGCATTTCACAGCAGACCTCACTGGCTCATAATCACTGGCAGATGACTGTAATAGAATACAACGAATTTGGACAAACTTCAGTTTATTTTGTTTTGCAACTTTTCCAGTTCAAAAATCAGCATCTTGCTGTAGCCAAAACTAGGCTCTGTTACTTGATTTCCAGTGAATTGTTTATGGCTCCCCCACCCCCCAATAACTATGGCTTCATTTTATTCCCAATAATTAATCACAAGGGATTATTTTCTGTGTAATTAGTCTCCAAAATTGCTGCTGGATAAACCAAACTTTGAACTGGGGATCTGATGCATTGCTGGGCTGACCTTGCCCATGATTAAGCACTGACATAAAAATATGTTGGTTTTCGTGTGGTTCATTTTTCCAAGGAAATTTGCTTTTGAAGGCTTCTGACTGTTTTAAAGTCTTTCTGTTAATGGATAAGATTTATTATTTTTTTTGAGATAAATGTGTGTTTGGTGTCAGCCATGACTGATGCTGCTCCTGCACACCCAGGTGGCAGAATTTTCCCAGTGGATTTTGGGTATATAACTCGACACAGACTGTGTTTCCTGCAGGTGTCAGTGTTCAAAATCTACAATACATTGAATTTTTTTACAAAAAGACAGGCTAGGTTACAGCCAAAATGAATTCACCTGTATTTTGAGTCAGTGTACCATAGAAAAGTTTTGTAAAAAGCTGTGTATCCTCTGGGTTGACTGACCTATGGGAAAGTTTGCTGTGTAGCTGTACCAGTTCCAAAGGGAGCTAACAGAAAAATAAACTAGGAGAGAGAAAGCAGTTGAAGCCAATAAATGCTCACTGTGACATGAATTACCTTCAAGGACTTTGATTTGGTCTCCTGTTCAACTTACAGGATTGTTTTTGACCAGAATTGCTAGAGCCAGGAAATGAAGAAAAGTGAAAGGACTGGAACGCCATCCCTTAAATGCAAGTTGTTTGGGTCAGGGCAGGAATAACACTTGACATGCAAGGGACTGGAATGTCTGTCAGTCAAGAAGGTCTAGTAACCCCTTCTGGCCAAAAATCTGCAAACTGATTGATTCCATTATTTTGTATATTTTTATATTGCTTTTTTCAATTTTTCAGAGCTCTCTTTGAACTGCTCCTGTGCTGTTGGCAAACTCTTCCAGTGAACAGTATCCACTAGGACTTCTGGTCTTGCTGCTTGGAGGCTTCTCCAGTTGAGAAGTGATGCCTGGTGGTGGAAATCACCTTTACTCTCCCGTTGTGCTCTCTGTCCCTAAGGTATTTGAATCCACATGGCATTTCTTTCAGCCTACTAGAGGTATAGTGAATCAAATCAATACCTTTTACAGCATCAAACATTAAAGTGCAGAAGAATCCTTTGTGAACCCAGTGAAAGAGAGAAGCATGGGAACTCTCAAGTGTTTAGAGGATCCTCTTTTACTGTACCTCCCCAAAAATGAGCAGCAGTGGCAGTATAAATGTGCTGGCATCAATATTAGTAACACAATTCTAGTAATTAATTCTAAGCAGGTGTAATTTGGACCCTCTCTCTTTAATGGGGAATTCAGCCTGAAATTCTGTCACTGGGCTGCACCTTCAACACTTCCCAGCCACTAGTGTAACACATAAAACTGATTCTTGGGGATTTCTTGAGAGTGCATCTCATAACAGGACCACATTTAGAGTCATCTGCCTTGGGGGATAGTTAGGAAGCTAAGAATTGTCACAATTACAGCTATTTTTTGTTCATTAACCTTTATCAAGCATACAAGACTGATGCCTCACGTGCTGCAGTGCCAACACCTCTGGAGTCTGGCAGGAAAGCTCAGCATGGAAGGCTTGGAAGGTATTTCTTGAGATGGACTTTGCTGGGGGGTTGTTGGGCTTGAGAAAATGAGATGGGCTTGTAGAAAATGACTAAATTAAAGAATTAAATAATGGAATCAGAATTGACATTTTGCTAAAAAGTTGAAATATAGATGAACTATCTTAAACCCAAGAGAAGTGAAAGGATTTTTTTATAACCAGGGGGAGTAAATAATTGTAGATTATTATCAGTGTTACTGTAACATTAGAAAGAGACACAGAACATTTTGACAGCCTATCTGGTTAATTTTCATGATGCAACAGGTATGGAACAGAGAAATCTGAGTTTATAGACTGGCCCCAGCAAACAAATCCTTTACATGTCCAGTAAGATATAATCACACAGAGCCAAGAGTAAACACAAGCAATAAATAATGCTTATTAATAAACTGAAATCACAATTCTGCCTTGTCAAAGTGTAACAAATGGATCTTGGACACAGGCTCAGGCTTGTTTAAAAATAAACAGAAATCAGAGCAGCCATTTGGAGATGAAATGCTGATAGTACTACACACCTGTGTGAGCATTTTGTACCACTGATGGCTGTCAGAGAGGAGCTCAACTGGCAGGCTGGGCAGAGCTGTGATGTTTGGCTGGAGTCTTTCCTTCTCTTGCACAGCTCTCACAGCCACTCTGCCTCCTTGGAGATGTCTGGAGAGTGCTCCAGATTTCCAAAAGATGGGGTCTGGGTTGAACCCTCAAAAGCACTGTTGCTATTGAATTCCTCCTGGCAGATCCAGATGGATGCTAAGTCATGACCCCTCACTTCACACACAAGCTATTTTAATTCGTTTGAAGCTAACATTTCCTCACAGCTGATAGCAATAAAAATCCCCTAGAAATACTGGCTTTTTTTTTTTTTACACAGGTATTATAAAGATCCAGTATATGTCACTATGAAACAACTATTGCAAGAGAACAATACTTTCTGAAGTGTTTAGTTGCACAATGTTTAAACAAGGCATTAAATATTTGCACAACATGGGGGTGACGTCCTTAGTGTTTTAAACAAGGTGGGGACAAACAAGTGAATTCTCACTCTAAATTCCACAACATTGTCTCACAAACTGTCTTTCTGGAGAGGTGACGTGGATGAGATGATCCAGCAGAAGCAACAATTGAGAGGAAACACATTTTCCATGTCTTGCTCACTGCATCCTCCAGTTTGTCCTCTCCTTGGTGACCGCTGTTCTCTCTGCCACCCTTCCCAGGGCTCTGCTCCCCCCAGGAGCTGTGGATGCTGAGCTGTGAGGCTCCTGGCTCGTGGAATCCAAAGCCAAAAATGGGCAAAACGTTGGTAGAAGCACAGTTGGAGACAGTTCCACCCCTGAACAGACTGTTCTGGGCCAACACCAAGAAGGTGATCCTTACTTTACTCTTCTGCAGGGTTTCCTGTAACCCCCAAAGCAGACTGGCCACCTTGACAGCAGCCAGGGCAGGTTCCTCTTCAGGATCTTCTAAAACCATAGCTTGATGTTTGTTTTTTGCATTGTGAGGGTCATATTTGGTTACTGTGGATTGTGCTTATGTGGCTTAAAAAATAAAACTGGAACTATGTTTTTACTCTGAGCAACAGATGAAAATGGAATAAAATTGTCAGAGCAACTGTCTCCAGCTCTTTAGGGAACTGATCTCTCCTTACTGATAAATGGCTTCTTTTCTCAGCACATCTTGGATTAGTCTGTGATGTTTTTCTTATTGTTGCTCCATTTCATGATAACCTCATTTTCTGAGTTCTAGTTAGGAATAATTCCTTCTTTGTCCTTTTCTGCATCCCTGTGTGTTCCCAGAACTTCTGAAAAAAGGATCTTTTTTTTTTTCCTCCATTAGTCACCCTGGTCTGACAAATACCTGCTTGTTTCCTCATGTAGACGTATAAGAACTATCGTGTTTGCTTCTCCACATTGCGTAGCTGGGCTTAATCATGATGGTGGGGTCAAAAATGAGAATCTCAGTGTTAAATTTCAGGGTTAAAAAAAACCTGGAGGAATAACATCACTTAAAAAGTGCAGGCTTCAGTGTGGTACTTTTCAGGAGCACCATAGTCACTGAAACACTGTTTATACTGAGAAAAATCCAAGCGGCCACCAACAGCTGTGATTTCAGCTGCAGCTTTGATCCCATCAATAAGACTGACTAAAAGACTTTCAGCCACTTAAAGCTCAAGGAAAAAACACTTTGTGAAGGACAGTGCAGCAGCACCAAACAGGGATTTTCAGCAAAGCTGGAGAGACTCCAAAGAGAAAGTTCTTCAGCTTTCCTTGCTGTTAAATTTGAGCTTGTGTAATGTGGCAAACCTTGGCTGCTGAGACCCAAACAGCGCATGGCTGCATCCTGCTCCAGCAGGGACTGAGCTGACCTCTGGGGTGGGCACCTCTTCCTGAGCACCCTGGGAAACATGGGCCTTATGCAGCTAGTCATAAATGCTGAAATGGGCACTGATGTTCAGTGGTTTTCCTTTGTATGAATTTCTATGAGGAACAGAGCAAAGGAAACTGGGAAGCATTTAATGTCACGTACAGTTGGAGTGGTAGCTCTGATCTGGAAAAATAAACCTTTGGTAGAGTCAAATGTTCAGCATATTGTATCAGATTTATTTGTTTGTTTTTTAAATCTACCCCCTGGTCTCTAATTGTGCACATCAGCAGATTGGTAGGTCAAGACCTAAGAATGTTGTGGGGTTTTACTGCTATTTTACTGATGAGGGATGTGATGTTAGATCAGTTTCCTTGGAAATGGTTGGCGTATTAGTATTGGTCAGGAGATGTTTGTGCCCAGCTGCAGCACAAACCACAGACCTGCTTGGCTGGTTTGGTTTGGCTTTTTGCATATCTAGGTCTAGCCCTCATGGCATGGAGCAGTCACCAGCTTTTCCTGCAATCTGTACAACGTATCATTTCTCACCTGGTGACCAGCCTTTCCAGCACTGTGTTTGGCATCACCACCAAAAAGCACCATTTAGCTCCTTAGGTAAGCTGCTTCTGACAAGGAATAAGATGGGGTCTGGGAAATTATTCTGCTGTTTCTCTAAATCAAACTGGAATGTCAGGGATTTGGGTTTGACACCCTCCCCAAGCCTTTAAGAAAATGCCATTTACGACAGAAAGCAGATTAATATTTTCTACCTTGCAGATGCAAATCTGACACTTTCTGTTGGATTCTCCTGCTGACACTGATACACCCACAGTGAAAGGCTGGGACAGGGCAAGCCCAGGTTCTGCACGATGCAGCAAACAAAACTCTGCTGTGTTTCTCTTTTGGGGCAGTTCCTTTTTAATGCCAGACTGTCCACACGGACTCAGTGTCAGCCTGAGATAAGGGGTTGGGTTACAATGCAAAGCTCAGGATGGGTTTGCTCATTTTTTCACAGCTGTGGAATTTTATTCTTCCTGGTATCAGTGTTACCAGATGTTGTTGTAACAGGCTGGAGCATCCGTATCGACATCTCCGATGAATCAATTTGCTGCCAGTTTCAGAGCCTGATCCTCTCATCTTCTACAAGGTAGGTCTGGGCTTCAGAGCTGTGACATGCTCATGAACACAACAGAGTGCCACATGCATACGAAGCAAAACTTTGTATATTGACAGAGGTGTAATATGATGGAAGTGTTGCTGTGAATATTGTGGTTAAGATTTCCTTCCTGAATCCCTGATCACATCCACCCTTTCTTTTTTGAAAGAATTTTTAATTAAGGGTAATAGTCCTTTCTTGGTCTTCTCCAAACAAATCTAGAAGATTTAAGGGATATTACTGTGTAAAAGAAAAAGGGGGAAGAACTTTTACTTCTTTTTTCTGTGCAAGAGGTGGCAATTACTGCAGAGTTTTCCATGCAGACTGTACTCAGACCCATCCTGACTTTTTATTTTGACTTTTTTTCAATAGTCCTGGCTGACCTTGCTCCCAAAGGTGAGCGTGGAAAACAACAGGAGGGGAGGGAATGCTGAGGGTATTTAAAGCACAATAATGGGAAGTGCTGGTGACCTCCCATTGCCACCCAGTCCTTTTCTGTCCCTTGGCAAAACCTCTGGCTTGTTCCCACCACTGCACTGCTGGCCCCTGGTCCTGTCAGCCTCTTCAACAAGGGAATTGTTATCAATCTTAAAAACACAGAGACTCCAGTGGTAACTTTTTAAGGGCATGATGGAGACTCATCACAACAGGACTAAGATAATTATTTTTTGATGCATGCAGAAGTCACATTTCATGACAGAGGGAAGCTAATTTTTAACAGCAGATTTCTCTCAGTAGCTTCTTCCAGTTTAATTTCTATGGAATGCTTGGGTAATTACTGTTCATTCTCACTTTGAATAAAAAACATTGCTGATTGTATACCTGGATTTTTTCTCTTCCCCTTTCTGGGAAGCAGGAGATTAGTTTCAAGAAGCCAGCCATATATTGGCTTTTGTACAATAGTAGGTAATTTTAATAACTGGACTTTTGTACTGACCTGAGTTGAAGTGAAAGTGTTTTCCAAAGTAACTTGATGTAGTACAGCCACAGTTTATATTGAGAAGCTGAACACAAGTTCCTTTATTGCTCTGGTTTCTGCATATTCTGCTGTGCCACGTTCTGGAGGATGCCTTGAAAAGGTTGGACATGTATTTTTTATAAGTTATAACTTTGCCATAATCCACAAAATGGAGAAAAATAAAGCACTTGGTCAGTGGCTGAGCACCTTCAGCAGCCAGTGCTTGGCTCTGTGCAGGCTGCAGCTGGGGCTGCCATGGGCAGAGGAGGAGCAGGCAGGGGTTTCATGCAGCACTTGAGGGTGGGGTAGTTCTGCCCAGTGATGCATCACAGGAGGCAGCAAAAGCAGGGAGGATGGGACTTCTGACCCCCAAGGGTGTAAATGCACCCCAAGTTTGCATCCTGAACATTTGTCAGGTTTAACCCCCTGTTCCTCAGCAGAGCTTCCCAGGTGGAGCTGGGGCCAGGATGTGCTTTGGTGGTAGGAAATCAGGCAGGTGTGAGCTTGGTGAAACCTCTCAGCTGTGCAAGTGCCTCCCCCTGAACACTGGCACTGCTTGAAGCTGCAGGGTGAATTCTCAGACCTGCAGGTGTTGGATCTTTCCTGAGGACTCAGGAGGAAAGACACAAAAAGCACACTGCCTGCTAGGGAGAAGGAAATGCCCCCAGCATTTTCACAAGGGATGTTGGAAGCCAAGCACCCTTACCAATGTCTGGTGAGGACAAGTAACAATATTTTTCTGTGTCCAACCTTGCAATTACAAAGAGAACCAAAATCTAGTGCAATAGATGAGTTTTTGCTGAGATCAAGCAGTTGTTATGATTTAGGCCTTAATTTTTTCTAGCCTCCTGGATTCTAAAAAGCAACTGTGCATATTTGTAGGGGATGCAGCACTTCGTTAGCAGAGTACATTTGTTTTAGGCATAAAAACTTGTTTCTTAACAAGACACTTCAAATGGAGGAGATTTTGATATTAATATTTCTCTTCTGAAGGCAGCCTATTGATGCAGAGAGGAAATGCCTGGCAATCCCACTGAACAAGTCACAAGCACCAGCTCTTAACTCAAACAGATTTTTGGCAGGAATTATCCAGCTGCTCATGCTAAGTGTGGTAGAAAACGTTTTCTTATACAAATAATGAAGGTACCTGAAAATAGAAGACTGTATCATGATGTGACATGATGGAAATCTAAGAGACTTTGAAATGATCTAGAGAAGGTCACAGAAACCTGCTGTTCTGTTAAGAAAATAGGAGATGGTGGAAGATCCACAGCAAAATTCACAGGCAGTGGGATGGGAATGGCCCTGTGGGGAAGTCACAGAGCCCATCTCTCACTGAGTCACTGTACTGAGAATAAAGTTTATTGTTTATCACAGGAACAAACGGTTTTGTCAGGGGAGAAGTTAGAAAAACTTTAACTCATGATAGAGCACCTGATCTTGGCCCACAGTTTGTGTGGCTCTGGTGTGGGCTGCACGTGTTTGTGCACATTTGTAGACTTATTGCTACAAATGTTAATTGTCAAGTCTGCAAGTAGCTACCTCTGCTTCTGTTCTTTGATACACACTCTACAATCATACCTGCCAATATAACTCCTCTGTTTTGTTCCAGAGGTTTGTGCTGTGAGGCTCTAGTGTGACAATGGCTTTTTCTGAAAGCTTGCTTTCACTGATGGGGTCATCAGGGAGCCTGAGAAGGGAACAACATTTTTTATATGAAAGCAAAAGTACATTCTAACCTTTTGAGATCTTTATAATCCATATTGAATATTAGCAAATAATACTTTCCACTGTGAAGTGTTAGGAACTTTTCCCCTTCGTTTTGCTGTGTTGTCATCTGCCAGCCAAGAGGGAGCATAAGTTTAGGACAGTCTTGCTCAGGACAGTCTTGCTGACTCTTGAAGCAATTCAGGTCTCCCCAGTCAATCTATCAAATTAAAACAGAATTGAAAAAGACTCTGGATATTTTTGCATTTCTCAGAATAGGCTGCAGAAGAC